GAACTTAACATGGCCTCACAGGAAGGTCGGTCAGTCTGTCTGCTCCTATTGAGTCTTGCAGTCTCAGAAACCCAGGAAAGTTGTTCCCCCGTCCTCTGATGTAGTTATTCGATTGGCACTGTGGGGAAGCCAGATCACTCCTTCTACGGTGCCTGGTTCATCGACCTCCTATCAAATTGCCTAGATTCCAGACCTTGCATTCATTTGCTTGAGCTCGGATTCAGTCAGCCAGCGATTTGGCTACTTTGTCTTTCTGCCTTCTGGTTCGACAGTCCCTGCAACTACACAGGTTGAGAGAAGTCTCCAGTTTACCATCTGTTCCTTGGATTTGAATTAGACTGCATGGATACACTTCTTCAATTTTGTGGACTAGTTCTTTATCTAAATCTCTTTACATATACACATATACGTATAAGCATGACAGGTTTTCTTTTCTGGGGAACCCGGCCTAACACTCTATCTCAGGGCATCGCCCTGTCTGGTGATCTTGCCCACAGCCACAGTTACTACTAGCGACAGCGACAGCTAGAGCCCTCCCTGAGTCCGGTGACTTCTTCCTCCTTCAGGCATGGTGACGCTAATAGATACTTGGAACTACTTCCTCTGGGGGCTTTACTGTACTCACTGTTTTCTCATATCACCCCACACACCAGGTAAATAGCACCTTCGTTCATTTCATCTCAGTTACTTCATTACACTGTGCTTGTGTTACCTGTGGGAACACTAACAGAGCAATGATAAAAAGGGGAACAATCGTAAATAACAAATGAAAAGCAAACCAAACATTTAGATAACACCAGGCGTGTTCAGGGTGGTATGGTCATAGATCAAACCAAACATTTGGATACCAGGAAAATCTGTGACACCTGAGGCTTTAAAGAAAACTATTAGTTTATGGAAGCAATGACTGCAGGCCCCCTTGCCCCCTAAATTAAAATTAGCAGAAATATTTTTCTCTGTCGTAGCAGAGTTGAATGGTTGGAGATGAAGAGGGGACTTAGGGAAACAATGGAAATGGAAAGACGATCCCATGAAGAAGTTCCAGATCTACTGCCTCCTCTTTACGGAAGCCCAGGACTCCTGCCTGCATGTGCATCTGCACTATGGCTTTAAGAAATCGTCAGCTTACAAGGAAAACCAAGGCCAGTTCAGGAGGAAGCTAGATCTGGAGCAAACTCTTCTCTTAGTGCCACTCTCCATTCTGGTGGAGGAGCTGATACCAAGCAGGAGCTTTCCAGAGACAGAGAAACACCTGAGGATGCCTTTCTGTCTCATAGGTGCAGAGATGCCCACAGATGGCTGAATGAAACCTAGTGATCAAATGGAGCTCATCAAGATGCTGGACAGACCCTGTGATTTTCTACAGAGGAGCCTACGGCAATGATTGACGCATTACACATCCCCTCCCCAGGGGGATGACTGGAAATGTGGGTGAAGGGAAACAGCTGTCTGTGTAAGATATGAAAACAATAATAATTTATAACTTATCAAGGGGTCACTAGGGTGGGAGAGGAGTGGGTAGGGGGGAAGAGGAGCTGATACCAAGGGATCAGATAGAAAGTAAATGTTTAGAAAATTTTGATGGCAACAAATGAATAAATATGCTTGATACAATCATGTATGGAATGTTATAAGAGCTTCCAATAAAATGTTTTAAAAAAAGAAATATATCTTTTAACAGATGTTATAATCTTACATACAGAAATTAAAAAATATCCAAAATAAAGTGACTAGAGCCTATAAATGAATTCTGAAAAATCGCAAGTACAAGATTAACACAAAACTCAGTTGGTTTTTAAAAAAATCATTTTATTGGGGACTCGTACAACTCTTATCACAATCCATACATACATCTATTGTGTCAAGCACATTTGTACATTTGTTGCCAAAATTATTCTCAAAACATTTGCTTGGCTTTTTACAACAATAAAAGGATCTGAAAAAGAAATTAAGAAAATTATTTCATTTACAATAGCATCTAAAAAATAAAATTCCTAGGGATGAATTAACTAGGATAATGAAATATTTACTTATTTAGAACTATAAAACATTGCTAAAGGAATTAAATAAGGCCTCAATAAATGGAATGCCATCCATACTCACAATTGTAAGACTTCATTTATTCAGTTATCAATGCTCCACAAAGTGATCTATTGATAATACAACCCTTATCAAGATTCCAACTGCCTTCTCTTTTACATAAATGGCAAAGTCAATCCTTAAATTGAAATGAAATTGCAAGAAACGCTCAATAGCCAAACCAATATGAAAAAGAATACAAAATGGAAGCACTCGCACTTCCTGAATTCAAAACATGTGATAAAGCTAGAGTAAGCAAAACAGGGTGATACTAGTATCAGACAGACACATCGACACAGAATAAATCTGAGAGATCAGAAATAAACCCAGGTAGCTAAGGTTGATTGGTTTCAGACACGGATGTCAAGTCTGTTAAAAAATGAGAGCAGAGTATCTTCAATAAACGATGCTGGAAAAATTGAATCTCTACATTTAAAAAATTCAGATATATTGGACACTTTTGATCTAGTTCCTATGCAGCCCTTGGTGACCCAGGCCATGTGCGATAGAATCCTGGGACCTGAGATTCTGTTCTTTTGCGGGGCACAGCATCCTTCAGAGGCCAAAGCAGAAAGACTCCATGTGGAAACCCCACTAAGTGAACTGGGCTCTACCTCAGACTCACCTGTAGCCCCTGGAACCTAAGGCTGAAACTCCCTAGCGTGAGAAGGAGCAGATGCCTGCTACCCCAAAAGTATACACCTGGCGGTCACTGGACTTTGGTTCAGATCTCCTGCCTTGCGGGTGCCCAATGAATGGTGACCAGGGATTATCATATACTTACGATATTAATTCTGTCCTTGCTCCATTATGACAGGTTTAATTTAGCAGATATGGCTCTCCCATTGTGAATATTATTGAAAGTTTTGCCCTATCACTAAGCCTCATTATTTGTGTAAATAAGGTCTAATCACCTAAGAGTTGAATCTTCTCAAGTTGACTAATGAGGTTCATAACTACCTATACTTGTTTAATGTCCTTTTGTCGATATCATTTTAAATTCTATTCCATTGGCTGAATTAATGACACTATCAATGCAATTACCCTGTGTCCAAGGTCATGGGTGTGGGGTTGTTAATGTTCTTGAACATAAAATGACAATAATGTCCTAAGGTGAGCCAACAATCATATACATATATACCATAGATATATGATGGATTTGGGAATTCACACTTGATTCTAGTTCCAATGTAAGAACAATTAGTTCTTATGGCATGGCCCTACTTGATGCTCCCCCTCATAAAGAGATCACTGAAGATCCGAGTGTTACAGCAAAATGTGACAAAGAAACTAGATGGTGCCGGCTATCAGAAAGAACAGCACTTGGGGTTGTAAAGTCTTCTCTTAAAACAAGCAGCCATCTAGCAGAGGTGTCAACTAAGTCCACATGGAAAAAGCACACCAACCAGTGTGATCCAAGGACTGTCAATCATAAGATCCAAATCTTAAGGAGGGAATGTTTTCAGAGATTAAATTATGAACACCTGGTTTGAAGAATGCTGTGGATGACAGTGGAAACCCAGGATTAATATGCAGGGTCCACACATGGACTAAGCCTCTGGTAAATTCCTCTGATCACAGTTGGTACAAGTAGATCATAGAGGATGTGACTAGCCTTGTTCTCAGACAGAATGTTTTGTAGAGTTAATTGTGGCAGATGTATTTAGATTATAAACTGTAATACCATTTGATCTCTCTAACTCATTCAAAACTTGTTTCAGTTTAATAAAAAGTGAAGGGAAAATACACAAGGATTAAGGCTCCAGTGAATTCCCTCTGACCACAGGCTAGGGACGTGAATAGCTTTGCTATCCTGCAGAGTGCATTGGGAAGTGGACTATTGCAGAGGCAGTTAGGCTAAAATTTAACACCTTATCAGTTGATCTCCCTTTTGATCCACTTTAAGTTTGTTCTAGATTTTAGTATTTTCTGTTTTCTTTTAGATCGAAGTTTTTCCCTGTTTTACTTTTTAGTGTTTTTTGTTTGTTTACGTTTTATGTATATGAAACCCAGGATAAATAAATCTATAAGGCAGTAATGGGAATAATAGTTTTTTTTGGGGGGGTATGACAGGGGAGGTTGGGGGGAAATGAGGAGCTAATAACAATGAGTACAAGAAAGAAGAAAATGTTCTGAAACATTGGTTTATAATAACAAATAGTTTATTATGATGGGATATGCATCAAAACATTATTATTGTGTTAAATATAACACGCTATTATGTGTTATGTTAAAGGTATTTTGGTATAGAAAGCTTGTTTTATGTTTTCCAAGCCCTGGGTGACATAGTGGGTTATGCTTTGGGCTGCTAACTAGGAGGTCAAAGCCATCAGCCTCTACTTGGGAGAAAGATGAGGTTTTATACTCCTGTAAAGAGTGACAGGCTCCCAACCCCCCAGCAATGCTTCTACTCTGTCCCACAGAGCTGCGATGAGGCTGACTTGCTTGGTGGTAGTGAGTTTGGAGACTGAAGGCAAACATTTGATGAACTGATATTGAATGTGAACCATACCTATGTACAAATTCCACTTAAAGACACAGTAACAACGGAACTTGCTTACAGTCTGAAGGGGCCTGGGCATAATATTGTTCCCACACAACAGTCATATCATATAAAGTCATATTTTATAGAGCATTTTGTGAATGTCAAATGACTCATGACTGTATTATAAAAAGAAAGATATATACAAATGCATGAGTTTAGCCACAAGAACAACTTTAAAAAATAGGAGAGCAGTCTTAGACCGCCGAGCTGGCCACTGGTCTTGTGATGAAGGCCCTGAGTAGCGAGTCCTTCAGAAATAACCCTTACTTTAGGATCAGAGACACGGGTGACAAAAAGTAAGAAAACTATGCAAGTTAATGGAGAAAAGCTGGCTTCTAAAGCCACAACTGTCTGACAGAGGCAGAGGCTCTCAGCACTACACCACACTGCTCTCTGCCTGCTCCGTGGGTCCCTGAGGGGGGCCTCCTCCAGGTTCCTCCCCCTCAGGAGTGTCCTGCAGTGCCCTCTGGAGAACCATCCTGAGGGTCGGTTTCAGCCGCCGCCGCTGCTGCCGAAAGGAGCCAACGAAGAAGTAGATGATGGGGTTGGCACTGCTGTTAACACAGGAGAATAGATTAAACTATACATGGGGTAATCGACCATATGCACCCACCATCCAAGGTACTAGGTACCAACCAAAGCCATAGGGCAGGCCACACAGCAGGCAGACCAACACAGTGATCAGAATGGTCACAATGAGCCTGGTCATCTTCTTCCTCTGGGAGCCATAGAACACCTTCACCAGCAGAACCAGGCTGGACCCACAGAGAACCACAAATAAGAAAATCACCCACATCCAAAGGAAGAAATTAAATGATGAACACAAATCCAATGCGACTGTACAGAAGAGCATCTCCAGGAAGGCCTGTACCAGAGACAGGGCCCAGATCAGAGCACAGCTGACCCCTGACATATGCGTTGGGCGGCGGCAGCGATACCAAATGGGGCACAGGATGGACAGGCATCGCTCGGTGCCAATGGCGCTGATAAGGCTCATGTCTGCCAGGTAGGGAAATAATATCACAAAGTTAATGAAACGGTTGTAGACAAAATAAATGAATTGGAAATAATCGATGAGTACCATCAGTGCATAAGCAGTCATGGTGCCCAGGACGAGGCAGTCAGCCACGGCCAAGTTGAGGATGTAGACGCAGAAGGGGTTCCTCCGCAGGCGGAAGCCCAGCAGCCAGATCACGACCGCGTTTCCTGCCAGCCCACACAGGGCAATGATGATGGCCAGCAAACCCGGGATCATTGTCCATGTGTCAATATCTGACTGAGGGTGCTGGTCACTTTCATCCATTGTTGACAGTCCGTTCCCCAGGTCTGTGGAGGCGGGCTCCGTGCTCACAAACCCTGCACTGGTGGTCCTGGAACAGAAACAAGAGTTGAGCTCCTCCTGTCAGGTCATTGATTCCCAAGACCTCCTGTCACAGTGTTTAGAGGAAGGAAAAGGAGCCACCCACGGATGCAGCAATCTATCAAGGCTGGGTGAGGGTGCAGAGCCTGGATTCCACCTCAGCTCTCACCGTCTCTGCAGCTGTCTTCTAGCTGCAGTCACAGCGCCCTTCTGGCCCGAGCCTTTCTGTGACCCAGTACCTCCATAGCTTCCTGACATCATGTCACCTCCCTGTCTTTAGGTCCAGGACAAGCTCTGTGGGACAGCGACAGGGTTCCGACCAGAAAGTCTCAGTCTAGAGTTGTCAAAAGCAGAGAGTGGGTTCTGACTCACAGCAACAGGATGTGCAAAAGAGAAGCAGGCTGCACTGCTCTCCCAAGGGATCCGTTTGACGTTGGAAACAATGAGTCCTTGATCCTAAAATGCACAGGGTGTGAGGATGAAAAGATGGGTGCTCCATATTATACAGTCACAGTGGTCAAAACCACATGGTATTGGTATAGTGACAGATACTCAGACCAATGGAAAAGAACTGAAAACCCAGAAATAAAATCATCAGCAAACAGACATCTTTTCTTTGGTAAGGGCCCCCAAAAAATGTCAAATGGGAAGCAGATGCCCTCTCCAACAAGTGGTGCTGGAGAAAAATTGATATCTACCTGCAGAAAAATGAAGCGAGACCCTTATCTCACTCCATGTACAAGAATACACACAAGGTGGATCAAAGACCTCGACATAAACCCCCAACAACTATGGCCATCAATGAGGGAATTGGGACAAACCTGAGAAGTTTGGTGCAGGAAATATACAGGCTATGAGAAATAAGGAAGGACACAAATGCAGATGAGTCACAAATTGAAAGTGGGATATACTTAGGATAAAAAACCTGTGTATATCTAAAGAATTCACCAAGAGAGTAATAAGAGAGCCCATGGACTGGGAAAATATCTTTAGCAATGACACATCAGACAAAAGCCTTATTATTAAAATTATAATACTCTGCTAGCTTCCAAAGAGAAAAAAACTCATTGCCCACTGAGGATGTGGGAAAAGGACCTGAACAGAAATTTCACAAGAGCAGAAATCTGAGTGGCCAGTAAACATATGAGAAAATGTTCCCAGTCATTAGCCATTAGAGAAATGCAAATTAAAACAATGAGATACCACCTAACACACTCAAAGATAGCCCAATTCAAAAAATCAGAAAGCAACAAGTGTTGGAGGGGCTATGGTGAAATAGGAATTCTCATCCACTACTGGTGGACCTGTAAGTATGTACAGCCACTATGGAAATCAATCTGGCAATTTCTAAAACAGATGGAAATTGAGCTACCATATGACCCAGCAATCCCCCTCCTGGGCATATACCCAGAAGAGGCAATAAACAAACCAAGGCCAGAAATCTGTGCTCCAATGTTCATCACGGCACAGTTCACAATTGCAAGGAGTCAGAAACAACCCAAATTTTCATCAACAGACGAATGGATCAAAAAACTGTGGTACATACATACAATGGAGTACTATGCATTGCTAAAAAGCAATGATGAACGCATGAAGCACATCACCCGCATGGGAAGAACTGGGGGAAATCATGCTAAGCCAAGTAAGCCAAGCACAAAAGGAAAAGTACAACATGGGCCAACTGAGGTAAGCTTAAAAAAATACAAAAGGGGCATAGGGAAAAAACTACTGTGTACATACATTGCTGGAGTGAGGTCTGGGTAGTATGGCAGGGGCCAGACCAAATCCAGGGATACATATGGTAGCAAACTAAAAAGGAGGGAGGAAAAAGAAAAAGAAAGAAATGGGTATCGGGGAAACGGCACTAACCCACCCAAGGGGAAGGTATTGTTTATGTCTCCACAGGGAAAGAGGGACCAGACTTAAACTAAGTGCTCCAAGATGTGAATACCAGCATGAAGCAGGGAACCATTAGAGATGTCTGAGGCGCTGGCTCCAATCCCAACTATGTGGACCACCACCCTACCCCCCAGAAGAATTTACTTCAGAGGACAGCAACTGAAACTACAGCTCAGGGAGAGGGACATGTCTGATCAGAGCACATGGGAGCAAATGAAGGGGGAGGAAGAGAGAGTGGAGCACATCCTGGCCCACCAACCCTTGAGGACAATATCCCTGTTCAGAGCAGCTAATCCACAGAGAGGATCATATGGCTGGCCCCACTATGAGAAATGACATCCCTCACTGACCCATAGCCCTAATGGGGGACATCACTGGAGACACAGAGTGGGAATTGCACCGATCTGACCCCTCCACACCGAGGAAAACACTAAGGGTGTGCAACAGAACAGCAAAAGGAGCAGAGCAAGGAAGTCCCGAGGGAGTACCAAAAATAGACTTTGGGTTCAGGGCATGGCACTCCAGACTTGACTGGAAAATACTCCTAAAGGTCAAGAAACAGACCTTGAACTATTTACAGGCTTTTCTTCTTTTGTCATTGTTTTTTTGTTGCTTTGCTTTGCTCTGTCTTGTTTTTGTGCATATTATTATCTCTGCAGGTCTATCTAGATAAGATAGGATGGATAAACAATCTGGAGGAGAAAACAACGGGACTGATGGTTCCGGGGGGACATGGGAGAGGGGGAGGTGGGGGAAATAAAGTGGTGTTAACCAACCCAGGGACAAGGGAACAACAAGTGATCCAAAAGCAGTGGCCAGGAGGGTGTAAGAGGCCTGGTGGTGAATGATCAAGGGCAGTGTAACCGAGAGGAATTACTGAAACCCAAATGAAGCCTGAACATGATAGTGGGACCAGAGGAAAGTAAAAGGAAATAGAGGAAAGAACTAGGAGGCAAAGGGCATTTCTAGAGGTCTAAATACAGGAATGTACATATGTAAATATATTTATATATGATGATGGGGAAATAGATCCATGTGCATACATTTATAGGTTTAGTATTAAGGTAGCAGAGATATTGGGTCTCCACTCAAGTACTCCCTCAATGCAAGAACACTTTGTTCGATTAAATTTGCATGCCATGATGCTCACCTTCCCGACACAATCGCTGAAGACAAATGGGTGTATAAGCAAATGTGGTGAACAAAGCTGATGGAGCTTGGCTATCAAAAGCTATAGCATCTGGGGTCTTAAAGGCTTGAAGGTAAACAAGCAGCCATTTACCTCAGAAGCAACAAAGCCCACATGGAAGAAGCACACCATCCTATGTGATCACAAGGTGTCATAGGGTTCTGATTAGATTAGAGTTTTACAAGTCCCCCCCAAAATGATTTTTTAATCCATAATTCAATCAGACCTAGCATAATTGGGATCCATGTCATTTTTAATGACTTCAAATTATCCCAGATTCATAATACATAAATTCTAATTTCCAATATTATCAGTACATAGATGTTTTTAGCAGTTTCCTCTCATTTTGAATTATGTGCCATCAGCAGGTGAAGGTCCCGCAGGCTTTATTCTGTCCACATCATTAATGTTGATTCAACCTTGAGAGGGCAACTCTTCCTCAGTGGTATTTTGAGTGTCTTCTAACCCAAAGGGCTCAGCATCAGTTACCGTGTCACAGTGTTCTGCGGCTCTCCACGAGGTTCTCAGTATCTGATGGTGTTCTGCGGCTCTCCACGAGGTTCTCAGTATCTGACGGTGTTCTGCGGCTCTCC